GAGATAAGCACTAACGCGCGTCCGATCGCTTCGTAGCGTTCAGCTATTCAACGACTAGACAGCACAGCAGCGTCTCTGTGTCAGTCTAGTTTGGTGTCAGTGAGCCCAAAACCAAGGCTCGGGCTTAGTGGATTCCATATCTTTTCTGTGCGACTATTCCTCAGCGACTCTGGCCATCTGTGCTCTAAGCCTAAGCTCCGTTTAGAGAAGGGATACAAAGGCGTATTGAAGGACGCTTCCCTGATATGTCCCTGCTTTCAATCCTTCAACAAGGAAATCAAATCACTCACCAGCGACAGAGGTTCCAGTCTCGTGCGCCCTCTTGGGTAGAGGTATGGATCTCTTTTCTTGATCATCCGCGTTGAAATTGAGATCACCAGCCCAGATGTGATGTCGACACATGAGTCAACCAATGATGACAAAATAGACAACGATCCGGATAAGTACGATGCAACGCCCTGAATGAAAAAGGATTTTTACGAGACGAAATTGTTCTATCTATTTTCTAAAATGTGGTTTAGTGGTAAGTGGCGCGCTCAGCTCTCGCGCGGTCCTGGTTCAAATCCCGAGGTCGACTCCCGCCCAGGCCAACCAAGCCTTCTACCCTCCGGGACGGTAAATTGGTACCAGATTCGTCTGGGAGGATAAAACACTGACTTGTACATCGGCTGGCCCCGCAAGTCATTGTATAGGCCACATCGCATTCAATAAGCCACTACGATTCTGAATGGAAGTAGAATGCGTGCCGCATCCCACAAAGGGATTGATCTGCGAGACAGAGATCATAATACGCAACTTCGTTGCAATTCACGGGATCTCAGTTTAGTACCACATACTTATCGACCTTGCAGTTCGAGCGGTGAGATGATGCGCGATTTAGCGATTCTTTGATTATCAACTCCAATTTCTGCTTCCCATTATGGAGGGTTTCGAAGACGGGTTCTCCCCTCCGATCACTAATCATCCAATCACTGAATTCGCTACGAACGTTGGGAAATGGTTTCTAACACGATGGGACTTTCTTTCAGGAACTCTGAAAGCCAAACGTCGCTTCCAGTCAGAAAAACCACTCTAATCCGAAGTAAGTTGAAAAGTTCACCTTGGCGACCATCAGAGATATATTCACGATCAATGTCGCATGTGCTAATCGTGACGCTGCTTTAGACGTTGCTCGCGCAGCGTCCATATTAGCTTCATGCCTTGCTCTAAAACAATATATTTCCTAACAGGCTCATTTTCAAGGTGGATCAAAGCAATAGCAAAACTCAAGAAATCCGAACTATATTTTCAGCCTTAATAGTATACATATATAAAGTTAAAGTAGCAGCCAAGGTTCACAACGGTCATCGAAACCAAATTGGAGATGGCGTAACCGCGCAGCTTTGATGCGTTTCCCAGCGTTCTGAGGGGCTAGAAAAGTATAGGCATCGATTATCGCTGAAAACGCTGGCCGGCCTCAAAACGATGGATCGATATCTATACAGTGCCAGTCGCTGAAAACGCTGGTAGAGGCTCCAAATGCTGGGTCGAGTCGACATATACACATTCTAGCTCAAAACGCCCGAAAACCATATAGAGCTCGAAACGGCTGCACAAGTATTGAGGCCCCCCCCCCCCCCAGTGTAGCTGTGGAAGAATCGAAATGGAAATAACTCACAACATAGAGATATCGGACGCGATAGATGACTTCCGATCATCTCCACGATCTACTAGAGGTTGGTTAGGTGCGACATTGCCGATTTCGACGTCCTGCTCACCATCCTACAGATTGACATATTGAAAACCTATGAAAAATAAGAAGAAATCGCGAAAAAAAACCTGACCGTGTTCTTTAACAAAGGGGCCATCGTATCGGAAGTCGACAGATTGTTATTGCTGACTTTCGAGCCTTTCTGGGACAAGTTTCGATTTAAATCTTCACCATCGTCCTTGTTTGTCAGATCGCCCTCTGTACTTGTAGACGATATCAACCGTTGCCGCGTTCGAACTTTTTGAAACACCTAAAAGCTCAGTCGATATGACAACGGAAAAGCGCTCGTCAGAGGATGTGAGAAGGATAAACCAAGATAACTACAAACCTGGATCTGTTCACTGTCGTTCTTGAAATTTTCCAAAAGCTCATTCTGCTTCTTGTAGTACTGAGAAACCTCTTTCTTCGGCTTCCGCAACTAAAAGACACACCGTCTCATTTTAGAACCAAAGTTGTAGTCATGTTCGGCTCGGAGGGCGTCACGCTCCAGCGAGGATCAAAGCTCGGCGTTAATAATGGTTGATTGTGTAGCTCGAATACGAATGGTAAGAAGATAATTAAAACAAAGTCAAAAAGAATTAGTGAAACAGCCGGTTCGGCTCTTTACTATCGAAACAGGAGAGAGGCTAGTTAGCGGAACAATTACGCACAAGCTTATTTGGAAATGGAAAGTTGGCGCTGGCGGCAGCCATAGCGGGCTTGGGCGACGGTTTCGGCGCGGGCACTGTTGCCGTTTCCCCTCACGAATTTTGAGCCTGAAAGGGTACATCCGAGTCTTATACCCTCGAAGGAGCGGAACGTGCCATCGACGCCATGTCTGCTTATCTGCATCCTCTCACCAAGACAACTTCATATGCTCCAACGTGACTTCATTCAGCTCATTCAGCCGTCAGAACATAAGATCTCGTCACTGCGCTCTCTTAGCCAGGCAACAAGACGTAGCTCTGTCGCTGCACAACATGGTGTGGCTATACCCCTGCTGGACACGGCTGCCTACCATTAGCCCCCCCCTCCTCCCCCAGAGGCTATCACAAATTAAATCATGAGAGCTGACTACACACTATGCACTGTGGATTATTTCGCTTAGAAAACCTAAAGCAATAAAATCAAACTGACCTCGCTTTGTGCTCGAGGATCTTTCCATGTGGTGAACCCGCATGGGGTGGATGTACGGCGGCCACCGATGCTGAATGTGTCAATTCGGAGCTGCTTTGAGGAGATGAGCCTTTTGGTAACGAGATCGACCGCAAACTTGGTGCAGTGGATGCATGTCGTGCTCCACTGAAAATGCCTCAGTAATAAACGTCTTGAATGCAAGTATAGGTGAAGAAATGTCAGCGCAAGTTATTAAAAGACATTTGCTGATGACCATACATCTATGTTTCATTGTTTCTTAAAGACACGTGGTACGATCACACATAGTTTGGGTGTGTGACTATCAGCCCCCCAGCTGTCGAAGCGTAGCGGTTTCCCCGTCCTAACATGCGCAGGAATGGAGATACAGGACCGTGAAACACGCTAATTCCTCCATGCTCCGCCCAATACCTTTTGCGGCGCAGACTCCCGTTCATGCTAACATCCGTCGTGTGTGCGCGCGTGTCGCGTGCGGCTCTCTTGGCACTTTGCCAAGTCCTGTAATTGCGCTTTGGAATACAAGTAAAACGCAATTTCCTGATGCGGATAACATTTGAGGTGTTGCTCATGCTTCAAAGTCCGAATAGAAGGTGATGAAGATGACAAAGGCTAGAAATGAAGAACAACGAATGTAGATGTAAATAAAACAAAATGAAAAAATTAAGGAAACGCAAATTAATTATCGCGTGTAAATTTCTGCGATCCGGCGCGAATCCGGCTCCAAAGCCATAGAAATACTTTAAACTAACGAGTGGGACGCTTAGGCCGTTTTTATTTTCATGTTTCGTGGAAATGCGCGGCCTCCGAGGGATATTGCAGAAGCAGCACAGTTGCTCTTGAGTTCTGGCCCTCGTCATCATCTTCGGATTC